GTCTAAAAATTGTCAAGCAAAATGTTGTCTACTACCCAGAGCTTGTATTCATTGTCAAAGCATTTTACAGGAAAGAATGCTAGGGTGATCCAGGGACGTTAGAGTGACCTACAAATTCCCTGTCTTGTACATTGGCCCGATCCCATGGTCATTGTATTTGAATCACAGAAGTATTTCCTTGGATAGTTACTAAAGACTTCAGATAGATAGATAGATAGATAGATAGATAGATAGAAAGATAGATAGATAGGTGGATGATATAGATATAGATGATATAGATGATATAGATGATATAGATGATAGATATAGATATAGATATAGATATAGATATAGATATGGTATAGATATAGATATAGATATAGATATAGATATAGATATAGATATAGATATATAGATATATAGATATAGATATATAGATATAGATATAGATATAGATATAGATATAGATGATATAGATATAAATATAGATATAGAATCTCTCTCTATATATATATATTTCTCTCTATATATATGCAGCTTGACTACTGCAAAGAGAAAATGTGTTGACTGAATGATGCAAAAGCAGGTCAATTTTGTAATTCTTTATAAATTAAACACACAATCATGCAGATTTCTTGCCTCTGTCTCTGAGTTTCTTGACAATTTATTAACACTCTTGTGCACCTTCTCTGGGCCTGAGGAAATTCCTTCTGAGGCTGAAGACCAAAACCAAGACCACCAAATTCATCAAGGTGAAAGAGTTCTTGAAACCTTTTGGAGATAGCATAGTGTCTTCCCCTTCTAGCTAGCATTTCTACTAGTCTTTTCCTTTGAAATCTTACAAATTTGCTTTCTGTTATTACAGTCTCTACTCACATCTACCATGAAGTGAAATTTAGCATGAACTTTACAAAGCTCTTCTTTGGAAGAGATAAATTCCATTTTCACAAATTGAGGATATTAATTATTATTTGTTGTTTAAATGCTTTCTTGCAACATTGATGCATGTTTTTTCTAACTAAGGTTTAATTAAAGAATAATCTTTAATTAATTAAAGAATAATCAAAAGAGATAGTATATCCTTATTTTAATAAAGCTTCTGACAATTTTGCACTTTTGCCATTTGTGTTTCCATAAAACACTTAAATTCTATAAAACAATGATTATTTTTTAATTTCTCTACCATTTATCATATTGGCAATTAATATATTGTTTTTAACTATATATATATATATATTTATATATATATATATTGCTATTGTATTTTATTAGTGCAACATTATTTCTAATTATTCTAATACTATTTTATTTTCAAATTGTTAATCTAAATTAAACTGTATTGCCCATTTACTATGTGTTTTTAAAATAGTTTAAGTGAATGTTTCAAATTTAGTTTATTTTTTATTTATACTATTACTATGATTACTATTTTAAAGAACACAAACTATTTTTAGAGACAATGGTCATATACTTAAATTTAAAAAAAAAAAGTGAAATATTTATGAAACACAAAATAGGAAATTTTTTCTACCCAGCCCCTATGATAACTTTTCAACGTAACCATCATTTTTTTAAAAAGCTATTGCTAGCTATTCTAGAGCTAATATCTACTTTTGTCTAATTCTCACACTTAATATATATATATATATATATATATATATATATAGAGAGAGAGAGAGAGAGAGAGAGAGAGAGAGAGAGAGAGATTATATATATATGATTTATTAATTTATTATATATAATTTATTGTTTATATATAATATATATAATATACATATTATATATATATATATATAATTTAAGTAATTTTGTAGATAAGAAGTTTTTATTTTTTCTACATCAAGGTCTTTTGGGGTAAGGAAGGTCAGATCTGGAAATTAGTGGCAATAGAGTGAAAACTTTAATTTCAAATGCTTTTTACATTCTTCATTGATGTCTTTTAATCACTATTTTATATAAATACCAATTTTTACTTATCATTGCCTATACTTTTCTCATAGCAAATGAGAAAAGGAGATTATGCTTTTGGTCACAAAATATTAATACAGAGTTCTAAAAGTGACAGTGTTGTGTGTTCATAATTTGTCTATAAGCAAGTTTGTTTTACATAAATAGCTTTTTAACAAATTTGAAATGTGAATATATTTTATTTTTCCCAGTGAGTACACAATACACAATTCTTTGACAATACTATTAATCAATGTTACGCCAATTTCTTTTCTGATCTAACAACATCAAATGAAACATTCAGATCTTGAATGCTGTTTGGTGAAGTAAACAAAGTACATTTAAAAAAAGACTCCATCTATAAAACAAAATATAAAAAGTCTACCCACGGCCACAAAATCCCTTATCTTGCAACACTTTAAAGTCACAATAAATGCTTTAGAAAGTTATGAGATAAGAAAACTTAGTTAAATGAAATTTCATTTAAAATGTATGGTGTTTCATTTGAAGTACAATTATAGAGAAGTAAAATAAAATTAATTTCACCTCTAAGGTAATGTGAAAAGACATGTTGCATTATACCAATTCTTGTCATGTAATTCTATAAATACAATATACAGAAGCAGATGAACAAATTAGTGAATGTCATGGTTTGCATTTTTAAATACTGACACACAATCACTTTCCAGTGGAGAAAATAAACCAGTTTAGAGTTTATTGGTATTGTTATCATTATGTTGTCAGTGGACAATTACACAAATTAGTTCAATAGAAATTTGGAGATTTTCTATCAAGCTTTTATAAATTTTCAACTCAAACCCCATTGAAAATATATCTACATACCAAGAGCATTAAACCATGACATAGAAAACCAGTTAGTTCGTTTTGTTACCTAAAGCAAGTAAACTTGCGATTTTTTTCTTCCTTTGGTTGCATACATGTTGATCTTGATTTTCCCATATTCTCTCTTGAGCTGGATTCTAATCCTGTGAAGGAATCAATTGTTTTCATGTCCCTGTACTTTCCTACCTTACATTAAATATGAGATGGAACATTTTTGGAGGAGGGGTTGTTTGACTTTGCCTGCATACACTGAGGATACCTGAGCTGGGCACTGATTCCACTACTTCCCCCTTGGAGACTTTGCTTGCTATGAATGGAGCTGTGCTGTGGGGTGTGACTGCACACCAGTGTTGTCTTTGTGCAAAAAATATTACATCCTCTCCCACTCAGAGTTCTTTCTAACAGCTTATGTGGGTCTGTCTGTCTAGATCTGCAGAAGAGTGAGCTCAGTGAGTTTCTAACCAGTCATTCAATTGGCCACAAAATGAAAAATCATACTTCTCACACTTGCATTTTTAATGATATTTTGACCTATAAAAATTAAGAGCTTTTTACCCATGGCAAGCTGACAAAGGCTTGATGTTTTGGTAGTGCTTCTGAACTCATGTGAACTCTTTATGTGCTCTGTATCTATTTTAGGATGGTATTTTATGTGCAATAGTTGATCAACCAATTTATTTAAAACTAGATATAATATCTAAAAGGATACTCCAAGACACCATAAGGTCAATATTGACAGAATATAACCATAACAGTGAGTTTTATGCACTGTAGACAATTAGAGAGGTAAGATGCATGCCCAATCTTATCCCAGAAGTCACGCGTGTGCATATACTCTGTTTTTGAAGTCATGGTTTATCAGTCACATACACCTGCCAGTTACCAGGGGCAAAAGGCTATGTGTCAAATGTGTAATGAACTAAGGTTTTAGACTATATTGGGTTGTAGAGGAATGTAAAGAGAAAATACAAGTGAACAAAACTTTGCTTTTAAATAGAAAGAGGTGAAGCAAGGAACTGCATAACTAAAAATTAAAATTCCTCACATTCTACAGTTGTGAATAAGCATGCACTCATTCTGAGAAGAAATTTCTCATCCTCCCCAGTCTCTTTGTTCCAAAGAAGTCAAACTTCATTAAAATTCAGACAATTATGGGAGAAAGTTGATGAAGCATTTAGTATGTGTGTCTCAGAATTTTCTCCTCCGTGAAGAAATGAAGTGCATAACAATAGTCAGGACCCATAAAGAACACTGAGCACTGAGTTCCGGTATGTGTATCTGTGTTGATACAGACACTACTGTAATAATATGACATACAATTGATGACTGAGCCCAAAATGCTCAGTCACCAATGATTTGTCATTCCAATGGGTCCCGTATTTTAGAACTGATCCCTACTTATCATTATATTGAATATACTTTAAAGTATCAATTACTGAGCACATCATAGAAAAAAACATAAGAAAGTATAACTAGAGAGAGAGTTTACAATTGTGTAGGCAGCACAGGGGAAAATGTCACAAGTGGAAAATTCTCTTCTACTTGACTGACTATACATGTACAGTAGCTAACATATATTTTAAAGTCATATTCGTTTTGACCATACATGACTGATATTTAAGAACTGCTTGTTCTCAAAGTCGTGAAAACAAATGAGGCAGGACACTGTTATTAATGTCCATTTACCAGGTTTGGTTTTATTTAAAAAGTGTATAAACATGCATTTTTCTCCTTTTCAATTTACTCATTCAAAATGGGTCAAACATATTGTAGTTGGTAGCCCATTTCTGAAAGTGTACCATAAAATATTTATTCCAATAAGTCTACTTACTGTGAACTGAACATACTCTGAGCACTGCTTTTTAAGCACTTATAATTTGGCTGTACATTTGGTGGCATAAACTTCATTTTTTTCATCAAATAAAACACAAAGTTGCATATAGACTGCATTATTATTTTAAAAGTCATGAATTGCAGTGATGCAGCTCTATCCTCTAGTGTGTACTGTACATGAACTAATAAGATGAAACAAGGTATTGTAATAGAGTTTTTGTATTTCGAAGCAGCCCGAGTATGTCCTAACAATAAATTGCCTCTTTAACTATTTGCTGGATATTCTAGAGTTCATTTGGTTTGTTTCCTTGGGGAACATCATATTATATTCTGACTTAATGAGTTGGAGAGAGTAATTATATTAATTCAGAAAATGCTTTTTTAAAAAAAAAAAAAACAAAACCAAACTGTAATATAAATACAGCTCTTGTGAAACACCTTAATTTCATTTTGCTTGTTGCAATTCTCAGGTGGGTCAATTACAACGAGAGATAAAGCTGATTCTAAATATAACTTTAATTTCTTTATTATGTCTTAAAGCAAGCTTAGTATATCTTCGCTACTTGTATAGTTTAATGCCTATTCAGACTTAAGTCTTAAACTTCCTTCTTTTGACCCACACTTTTATCAACAGTAAAAGCCACCAATCTGCTTTTTTATTTTTATTTTTTTTATTTTTTTTTAATTGACTTGGTCCCTGATGTTCAAAGAAGACTTCACTAACACCACTGTCCTTCGCATCTTCCTATTTCTATATCCCAACCAAAAACCATCCAACGTGATTGGCTACAATCAGCGTTATCCATCTAGCTTACAGTACAGCAACTCCCTTCACATTCAGTCTTTTTCTTCATGTCACGAGGAGTAGAGATTTGTGCTTATCACCAAATAAAATTGCAGTGCAAAATTTAAAAACATAAAAGTTACACAATTAAAAGTTAATATATGGCACCACAGCCTATTAATTCACATATAGTACAACAGACCAGTAAGAACAGACAATAATATGAACAGAGCTAAAAAGAGTGAGCTTGCATAGCAATGCACAAAAGAAATTATATACAGAGGAAATCCTTTGCTTCCTGGAGGGCGAGCTTTGTTTTCTTTCTTTTTTGTTTACTCCTGACAAGAAAGAGTTAAGGTGGGTGGTGTAAGTAACAGAAGAACAAAAGGAAAATATCTGTGGGATATGTGTGGCTGTGTGTCTTTACATTGCATTTACAGTTCTTTTAATAGTACATAAATAAAGAAATTGTTCATTGCACTGTTTAAGTGTCATCACTTCCATGAGTTCAGACCTGATGGTCCTTCAGAGCAGCTTTGCATGACTCATCTCAGTTATTCTATGAAGAGAAAAACAAATCAGAAGTAAGTTTGCATTTAAGAGCAGTATCCTTTAATCCAGCATACCAAAAACCAAAAGGAACAGATAATAAGTGAAAGTAACATCATCAAATAGAATCTGTTAATTTGTGAATTTAAGAAATTTTACTGAAATGAGATGAGAAAGGGGGGAAAAAGAAACATTGTGGAATTTGGATATTTGAAATTCAACTAGAGCTATTTTGCACTTTTGTGAATCCATAATTATTCCAAAATAAAAGTTAAAGAAAAATCCAAGTACTCATAAGTCAAAATAAAAATTATAAACATAGTTTAGTAATAATCAGGTTAGTAATATATAACAATAACTCATATCAATAAATAATTTAAACTTTTGAAAGTACTTTTTAGTTTTCATTATTTCAGGTCATCCCAGTCTGCCACATGAGCATAATAGCAATGTAATTTTTAAGATATGAAAAAAGGTTAGGAAGGCAGCTAGTTTACTTTCTCTTTCATCTAGCCACTGAGCAGTTAAGGAGGTTGGAACCCAGGGCTGTTCCTTAGCAGTGTTTTTAAACTGTATTGAAAGAAGCATATTCAGAAACTATTATTCTGAAATAGAATAGCAAAACTGGTAATTTTCCTGATTAAATTAGTAAGAGTTCAATGCTTTTTACTGTGACATACAGTAACATTCTAAATTTCTCTATTTCCTAATACTTTATATTTAGAAAACAAATTAATTGTAATAAGCACCAATGTTGGTTCCCTATTCAAAAAGAGAAATTTATTTCTAAGTTATGTTGTAATTATCAAAGTATTTCAAGTTAACTAGAATTAAAGATCAACTTTCAAGGTTGATTCACCAAATAAAATAAATAAATAAAAAAATAAAAAAGAATTCCTAAGGAGGTTTTTTAAAAGTACCAAAAGGCTAATATGTTTCCCATTAGTGTACTCAGTTAAAAGGCAAAAAAAATTACAGAATGAACCAATGGACCATATTTAATTAACTTATAAATATTAAGATTGATTGCCTATGTTAAGATAATTTTTGTATAATAAAAATCAAATTTTAAAGAAAAGGACATGATTATTAAATTGACTCTGTAAATAGCAATGGTCTAAGTTATAAACAAACCTGCTCAAAATTGTAATTGATCCCATAATAGAGCAAGTTTTCTACTATTGTGAAATTTGATATTGTGGCAATGTTATTGATGAGTTTTAGGACATGATATGCCAAAATATAGCACCTTAGTCTATTCTATATCTTAAGTGAAGGAGTTTGAGGACACAGCGGAAGCAGGAAGGTAACTCTGGCCTCCCCTGTTCACCCTTCTTTCCTCACACAGGTTATAAAACTGCCCTGTGACAGTTACCCACACCCTAGTGCCAGGAGGAAGGAGGACATTCTTATTACAAGAGATGGGGTTGAGAAATCTGTGTAAACAAACCTTGTTAAACTAACCCTTATCATCCTAGTTTCTTCTTCACCATTCACTACCTTTAGCTCAAACCCTTCTATTTGTCAATTCTTCACATACGTATTGTTTATTTTTGTCTAAAAGGTAGGAAAATTTCTGCTTCTTATCAGTTTTTTAGGTCTTCATTTTCTTGAGAAGGTTCCCATGTATATGCAAAAAGTAAATAAAATATATTTTTCCCTGTTAATCTTTGTCAGTTTAAATTTCAGACACAGCCAGGGAACCTAAGAGGGTTGAGTAAAACTTTTTCCTCAGATTTTCTTTTCTAGATCATCATAGCCTTTTAAATCTCCTACAGCACTTACATAATTCACTCGTAAACTGTCCTTGACTACTTGAGCCCATATAGCCTATGTCAAGAAGGTCGCTGACATTGCGCTGGTGGCCCCCCTTCAGCACCTCAGCTTTCCGAGGTCCAGTGGATCCTTTCGAAGATGCTGTTCCTGATGAGCTGTGCCCTCCTGGAGACGGAAAGTTGGGCTTGCTGTAGGGCACCAAGGTCTCCTCTAGAAAAAAAACAAAAAACATAAAGTGCTAAGTCAAAAGGAGCATGTTGACAAACAAACGTAACTTTAAATATTTAGCTCAAGATGAATAATTTTACCATTTTGCTTTTTAGTAAAATGAAAAATATGAGATTTAACAAGAAAATTAAAAGAAGTTCCCATGTGCAAGCAGCATTTCCTACAATAGGATCTAAAGCAGGATTAAATTAAAAGAGGTATTGGAATACGTATACAATGTTGCACATCATTTGCAAAATGTAAAGATATTATAAAAGAGACCTCATACAATGAACCATATTATTTAACAAAAACGTTTCTGAGAATAATTTCTGTAGTTTAGTGGAGGCTCCAATTTAATATTTCTATTAAGATTGAAAGACCATGGTTTTGATTTTAAATTATGGAAACATTTTTTCTCAAATTATATAAAGAACTATATATCAGCTATTAAAAATAAACTTCTTAAATTTCTATTGTTTCTTGAGAAAGAAATACATTATTTGAAAGCCTGTATTCTTCCTTAACAGAAAAGAGAAACATACAGTTTAATAAATAATCTGCCTATTCTCTTTATACATAATCTCTCTACAAATAACATACATAACTATTAATACTTTGAAATGCTTTTTCTTCCTTGCTTTCTTTTTTCTCTCCCTTACTTCCCTGTTCCTTCTCTTCTTCTTCCTTCTTCTTTTTTTTTTTTTATAATATGTTTTTGTTGTCATTTAGAGAGAGAAGAGGGAGAGGGAGGGACGATAGAAACATCAATAATGAGAGAGAATCATTGATTGGCTGCATCCTTCATGCCCTCTACTAGGGATTGAGCCCACAACTGGGGCATGTACCCTGTGGGAATCGAACCTGAAACTTCTTGGTTCCTGCGATGGTGTTCAACCATTGAGCCACACTAAGTCGGGCTCTTGCTTCTTTCTTCCTTCCTTCCTTCTCTTTTTTTTCTCTCTCCACTACCTTTCTTTTTTCTTTTTCTAGTATCAATTATTATTACTATGGTTATATGACTAAAAAAATTGCTGACTAAATTTAGTATTTATTTCTTTAGATAATCTTAATGACAAGGATCACATGATTCTTCTCTCATTCTTAATGATAAACCTTCTTAAATGTTTCACTAAACCTAGATGTTAATATTGTCATTTTTTTAGCCATTGCATAAACTATTTCTAAAACCTTAAGCACCAAGTTGTGACAAAATATAATATTAAAAATTCATGGGTAGATGACATATCTAGAATATATTCAGTCCAAATGAATAAATGAATGTACAAGGAAACTCTTTCAAAATTGTGTGTGTGTGTGTGTGTGTGTGTGTGTGTGTGAGAGAGAGAGAGTGTGTGTGAGTGTGTGTGTGTGTGTGTGTGTGTGTGTGTGTGTTTAAATAACCAAGGAATCCTGACATAAGAAGAAATATTTCAGAAAATGCATTTATGGAACAGTCTCATCACCAACCTCCCTCACTCCCACTCCCCACCAAAAAAAAAGTTAAAAAAAAAAATCCAACCATGAACCCCTAAATTTATTTTGTGTTATTTCCAGGAAACTTGATTTATAAACAAGAACATTCCTCCATTAAATTGTTAACAATTAACTAAATTCATTCAGCTGGAAAAAGTATAGACCCAGTTTAACCTTTTCTAACATGAGGATTCTGTGTTGGGCATTGATTTGTAACTTCATTGATTATTTCAATTAGTTCAGCAATTTGACTGAAGTGAGTTCTTTTAAAATGACTAGTTACTTCAGTCAAAATGAGCAAATTGGTTAGAGGCAGAGTTTAAACTGACATTAAAAGTGAAATTTTGTGGTCTTAAAAGTAATCAATATAAACACTAAAAAGCAAAAAACAAAATAACAACAATAACAACAACAACAAAAACACCTCAAATTGTCTCATGAGCATTATAAATGGAGGTTGGAAGTCTCTAGGCTCAAAGGTCCTATGCAGAGGTTAACTTGAGGAGCAATCTCTATTGGGATCAGCCTGCAGGGATGTTTGGGTAGCTCTGCTTCAGAATTCCACATTCAGTTAGTGATTCAAGGCAAATGCATTTCAGAAGCCCTTAAACAACTGCCATTTCTAAAATACCTGGTAGGAAAAAAAATGGTAAAAGTCCACACTTTGTTGGGACTGTGCAGAACACACCTGGTCCAACACCTTGTTTGTGTAGGGCTTTCCGTATGTCTTCTTGGCGTTCTGTGGAGTTAATCCATTCCTGGGTTTGTCGCTGCCACTCTAGGGACGTTCTAGCTGGACAATCCAATGAGCTCTTTGTGTCTTCTAAGTTGGATGCTTGTTGTCTCTCCAGAGAGCTTCCTTTTCTCTCTGTTGAGTTTTCCATGTTACCAACATGCTGGCTCGGGCCTATTTGTTGCCTTATACCCTGACCTGGAGGGGGGTCTGGTGGTGGTGGAAGATCTAAAAATTTTGAATAACGTTTAGAATGGACTAAATTTAATGAAAAAAAAAAAATACAAGATGAAGAAAAAAAAAAAACCACAAAAAAACCTGCCCTGTTAAAAGTATCACCCATGCAAAAAATATTTTTTTTGGGGGGAAAAGGCAAATTGTTTATATCCAAATGCATATTATTGATCTCATTGCTATTTTTTTATTACAGTGTCTTTGAAATAAAATCAACTAGCTTTATTCAGTTTATGTGGAAAATGTTTTCAATTGCACATTGAGGCAAACATTTAAGGTAAAAGGGCAGTTTATGATTTCTCCATATTTAATCCATTGTTCACCCCCACTTCCCAGAGTAGAAATATCATGACACAAAATGACTAGAAATTCTAGCAGCTGTGTTAATAAAAGTCTCTATGAAGAATAAATGCTCTCCTGCCAATCTCCAAAGGAAATTTTGCCCTTGGGGAAATTAAGAACTCTATGTGGTATCATATGCAACATATGACTGCCTTTACTCATGTATGTGGCACATTTAGCAACAAAAGTTTAAGCTAACATTTATGAAATGCAATTAACATTCTGCCTGATGACCAATGCTAGCTATTCATTTCATGAGTTAATGAGTTACAACTAATATGTTACAACTAATATGTTACACTCTTCCAATGTATTAATTTTAATAAGTAATAACTAGTACACAGATAGAATATGCTTCATAGTGCTAGACTAGACACTGTATCATGAAAATTTGAGATATAGTGGCATAGTTAATTTTTCAGAGAAGTTTTTTAAATTACATAACAGATATGAAAAAAATTAATAGTTCAAAGACTTGGCTAATTTTTTATTGTATTTTTATTAGCTCTTTAGATAGTCATTACCATTATATTTGTAATGTCTTCAGTTGTGACATCATAGAACCTTCTTTCATATTTCTTTAAGTACTATACTAATTTTGTTATACTAGTCATACCAGTGCTGAAATTACTTCATTGAAGTAATTGAAATCTAAACATTTTTAATACTCTTTGGATGATTTTCTTCTGGCATCCCACTGATTTTTTTTATCCCTAGAATGTCAATAATCTTATTTTTTGTTCAGAAATACCAAATATTATATACAATATGCATATTAATTTCATTATAGAGGCTAATGTATACAATATAGGTAATTAATTCCATACAATTTTTATAATTGTGCTCTTGTTTCTACTAGTATTGTTTGTAAAATTAAAAGAGAAAGATATGATTATTTTTGGAACATAGTTAGCTTCCTTAGGGAAATCTAAGCTGCTCCTTTTAAATATTTTCTTAAGAAACATACTTTCTTTATGAGGAAAGTGATATTGTCCTCCGTTGAACTGATAGCAGTGGTCTCCTCAGCATCTGTTCAGGAAGTTCCCATGTTGGAGCAAAGCTTTTATTTTTCATGTATGTTCTCTTGTTAGATGATGAATTACTAATTACTGAAGGGGACAGAGTTTCTGTCTGGGAGAATCAAGTTGCATTTGGAGTCTTGCTTCCAAAAAGGAAGAGCTAATCTAATATTGAGATATCTGTTTGTTAAATAATTCACCAAAGAGTTTGGTGTTTCCTTTGTATTCAAAGCTGACTTCCTTCAGTATGTATTATTATAAATTCAAATTTGTTATATAATTTGAGTTATTGAATTTAAGACTGCCAGTAGGAGAGAAATTATTGTAATTTCTTCCAAAACAACATATTTTGTCATTGATTTTTATTCTTTATCAGAGCAGTTTAATTTTTTAAATGGCCAAAATGGAATCTGCTTATGTTAGCTAAAATTCTGATCACTATTTAATTTAACCTGAATTTATACAACTACATAATTAATACCCTTGGAGCTTGCATATCCTAAAAAGAAAGAGCATTGCATATACATTGAAATAAAAAAAAATTGGAAGAAAGATAGAAGTGAGAATGGCTGTGGAAAAAAATAAAAGTATGTAATCAAACATATTTACTTAAATTAAATTTATTATTCATTTCTATTTTGATTCTTTTTAACAGAATCAATTCACTAAAGAGTCTCTTTCTGGTTTACTAAAGATTTGCTATTGTCTGGCACATAGAATACAGCAGTCCAATGATACATTGCCAGTATTTCTCTCTCTCTCTTTCTCTCTCTCTCTCTCTCTCTCTCTCCCTCTCTCTCCCTCTTAGAAAAAATAGAAATAGAAACATGGAAAAATTACATATCTACAGCCTGGATCTCTCCTCCCATGAACTCTTAACTCATATAACCAAATCCACACTGAATAGTTGGACTTAAATGTTTAGAAGGCTTCTCAAATTTCTCATACCCAACCTGAGTTCTAGATCTACCTCTACAATAAATGTTCCCTCTGCATTGTTCCTCATCTCAATTAGCAGCTCTTCCATTCTCTAAGTTTACAGAAATTTTGATGTAATCTTTGACACCCCTGCTTTACAGCCTATGTTAATTTTATTCACAAATTCTGTGGACTCTATTTGCAAACCAAAATTCAACCTTTCTCATTGCTTCCACTGATTCTACCTTGGTGTGAATCAATATCATCTACTCCCTATAGAACTACTGCAACCTCCTATGTGGTTTCGATGTTTCCACATAGAAGCACATTCAGCCAGTTTGTTCGGTTCCCATTGTCTATCATTTGGTATAAGCTTAATAAATATTTGAATGAATAGTTTAACAAAAACAGCCAGAGTGACTATTTTATAAAAACAAAAGTAAGAACATGTCACTTCACTTGCCTTAATATGCACATACATATGCACACACACTTAAATGTACCTCCAGGTTTTCCTATTCAAAGTAAGAGCCAATATCCTTATATAAGCTTAAAGGTCTTATAAACTCTAGCCCTAGTTGACTTGTCTGACTTTGTATTCTATTTTGTTGCTCTCTGTAATTAATCACACTGTTCCTCTAGCTTTTAATCAAATAAGCTTCAGGCTTCCACTTACTGTTTTCATATTTTGAAATTACTCTCATCCCATCCCCTCTCCCAGATATAAGCATTGTTCTTTCCCTTAAAATCTTCCAGTGTTTTCTCAAATGTAAGATCTTTCTTGGTAAGATCTTTTCTGAGCCCTCTACTTAACTGTTGCACCCCCATCTTTGTATATTTTTTCTCAATGACACTATCATTTTACATACTTTTTTAAAACAATTTATTTTCACCTAAGAGTATTTATTTTGAAATTATCTATCTTCTCCCATCAGAATACAAGTTTTAGGAGGGCAGGGCATTTTGTTTGTTTGGTTCCCATTGCCTATTATTTAGCATGAGCTTAATAAATATTTGAATGACTATTTTAATAAACAAAGAAATGTTTTTAATTGTCAAAGCTAGTTTGTGAAAGAGGCCCTTATCTGAATAGGGTATTTGGAATGAGTGGTGAACAGGCTGGAGATATGACCTAGGAAGAAAGATTGATGAACAGAGAACTACCTTCTCTACCTTTTTTGTTCAGCAGTGATCCAGGTATTGGCTTTAAAGGGTATTCTTGAGCTTATGCAAATGAAATGGAAGATTTGAATTGAAAAATGCCAGTTGAGGAGAGACTTTTATCAAGGGAGAAGAACACTCCTTAATGTGTGTGGGTGTTTGCATAGCATTTGGAATGGAGACTGACATTTCCCACCATTCCTGATTGCTCTTACTGAACACAAAGAAATATTGCTTCACCACTCTAGTAGTTAGTTTGATGCCATGTGGCAAAGTCCTTGCCAAAGAAATAAGAAAAGTTATATGTGCCACTTCCTGGCCTGACCATGGAACATCCCAAGTGAATAACCCATGTTCTGTCTTCTCCTCACTCAGAAACCATAAAGGCCCCATCTTAACAATAATGGTGTCCCAACATTGAAGGAGTATTCATCCTTACATTACTACTTAGAAGAGAGCCATGTAACCTTTACAAAGTCATTGTGTCTGGGAGAAACAAACATTTACTGTGCTAAGCCATTGAAGAATATAAGTTGTTTGGCATAGCAGGTAGCAATAATTACTCTGATGAATATTCTCATAAAATACTATTGTAAATAATGCAAGCATTTTAGTGTAAAATATCTATATGCTAAGTGTACTAAACACTAACTTTTCCAAAAAGGACTGTTAGGTTTTATATATAAATAGTATAAAATCATTACTAATAATAGATTGATAGCATATAAATGCCATTATATATACATTTGCTGTAAAATACCAATATCCTTCAGGATAATCTGTCGAGTGCCATACAAAATAAATGTCCTTGTATCATAACTAAAATGGTACAGGACATTTGGGTGAAACACTTGGGAAGGCATGTGAGCCAGTATTTCCTTTTCAATGTCACTACTTCTAAAAGGTATTCACTAAGAACCTTTTATAATCAATAACCCCTTTTTGGAATGCTGACAAATTTGAAAAGTTAGGGAGCTCTTTGCTTCTTAAAAAGCTAAACAATATATTGAGCATGCTTTAACTAGGAGATAGTTTTCGTTAACCAGACATTCTAATAAAGCTTGCAAGAAAAGTGTTCTAGGAAGAAAGAAGAGAGATCTCTATTTTCTTGATTTGTATTGTATCTTCCACATATTCTGGATATGGTCTTCAAACAAATTGAAAAAGACACAGGAAAAAAAAAACACATAGACTTGGATTTTTTTCTATTTCCATAGCATTCATAGCAGAAAAATGACACAAATTCTGAGATTTATAACTAGCATGTCAGGGAGAGTAATCCTTCTTATTCAGAGGGAATAAGATCAACACTAGAGGCTGCTTTGAGCACTCAACTAATCTTCAGAACATCTGAGGTAGAAAGGCAGTCAGTGAGCATTTTTCCTCACCACAGGATATCCATTCATAGAGAATAAAATCTCAATTGAACCCCTACCCTCAGATTCCATAGAAATATTTTCCAATGAAGTCAAAGTAAGCAGATAGATAAGTAAGCCTGAAAGCTCTTAAAACAAGTTATGTTTAGCTTTAAAATCTTAACATTACACAATGACAATAGAAAGCACAAAAATTGCTGTCAGACACCCCTCCCTCCATCAAAACTAATAAAGAACAAGTACTTTTTTCCAACTAAGTCTTATTCAGTCCTGTAATTAATGCTAAGGACTTGGTCATAGCTTCTCAAAACCTAATGCTTACTGGATTTACCTGTGGAGCTTTAAAAATATTCATAGCTGCTTTTCATCCCAGAACAATTTAAAAAAAAAATATTTGGGATATATTTTAAGAGCTTCCCAGATGGTCTGATGTACAGCCTAGCTAGAGTTATCCCTTTTTGTATAGTAAAACTATCTCATGATAAGGTTTATGTGCTTTTAAGGAGTAGTGTTGAGAAGAAAGAAGAAATTTACATTTGGGTTCAACATTATACTAAGTATAATAAATCATACATATTCCTTGGAATTAAACTTAAAATTAAATTTTTATTCCTATTTTAAATATATGAAAATTAAGTTGAATATATGGTAAATAATTACTGCTTTGCAGATCTCATGAATTACTCATCAAAGAACAAGGACATTTTCTATTGTGTTTCTTGAAACTAGCAGTGATTAAGCAAGTATTCAAAGATGGATGATACACAAAAATAAGAGGGTTGAAATAGATCATCAAACTGTGGGTCATTGGACAAATTCAGCTGCTTCCTGTTTTGTCAGTAAAGTTTATTGAAAATCAGTCACATCCATTCAATAACTTTTTTCTTTGGCTGCACCAGGTCATCAATGCCAAGGTGAGTAGTTGTAACAAAAGACTATATGGCCTGCTAAAGCCAAAATATATATATTAATTGGACTTTTCAGAAAAAGTTTGCTGATCCATCAACTGGATAATATGCAGCATGCTTTTAGTCCTAAAATTCACAAAACTAAAAAAAACTCCTAAATTGCAAATCACAGTCTTTTTCAGAAGTAAAATAATCTAAAATGGCTTACTTTAATATAGAAATGTTCCAACAACATGACATGGCAAGTGCACATGCTGTTGATGTTTTTCCCCTAAGCTTATAAGGTAATATTCACTATAAAGCATTAATGGGTAATACTAAAATGGTAGAAAAATAAACTTTGAAAAGTAGTATGGCATCTACTTCTTTGGGCTTGGTAATATAGAAATAATTCCAGGTGGTTAAAAAAGAGGGTGTTTTATTTAAACAAAACCACATTTCCAGGTTTTCTCCCTTGATATATAATGAGGGATGTCTAATCTACCATAGCTACTTTAACTCAACCAATGATGGCACATGGCTTAGCTCTTCAGTGAGGAGACAGAAGAGAAGGAATCAAACCTACCATCTGTCATTCCTTCCCTCCGATGAGGCAATGATGGTTGTTGGTCCATTCGCCCTCCCTTGTGTTTTTTAGTTGGCCTAGGCCTCTGACTTTGACTCAGGGCTGCACTGGTGTTACTGTCAGTAGAAAATGGGCTGGTTGGTCGAGGCCTTTGAGAGGAGGTAAAGGCTTTGCCTAAAAACAAACAAACAAAATACAATGGGAAGGGGATATGGAGAATGTTATTTTAAGACTCTGATTCTATTTGTCTTGTATTTTTTGCTCTTTCTAACTCGCAAACCTGCCTGGAGATGCTATTTGGAGATTCCAGACACTGTTGCAATTCCATAGAAAAATGTATGCCTTGCTGCATTTGTCTGGCCCAATTTTTAATAACCAACATTCTACCCATTAAAAAATTAAAACAAATATAAAACAAATCCACATGATCTTATGTGATTGTTTTTATTTAACCTTGATAATCTTAGCAATATTTTCATAGGTATTTGCAAATTTATCCAGCTTTTACTTCTTAAAATTAAAAAAGCTATTTCTGAAAAAAAAATTATGTGCTGTCTTATCAATATTTGCTTAATCAAATTTCACCCTTGAATCCCACAAACTCTCTTTGAGTATAAAAAATGTCCTATTGTAATTACATCTAAAAATTTACATGAAAGATCTGCTCACACACATATATTAAATTGACCTTACTGCTCATACACATATATGATGAATTGTACTTCTTTGAGCAGAAGTTCAATAACATTAGCATATAGTACAGGATAGAGAGCAGGTTAAAACCACCTTGTATATCTACAGTACAAGGGGTGTTTCTAATTGATAATATTGTATCTTAGCAGACTCCAAATTCTCATTGAGAAATGAAATGTGCTATGCCCTTTTCTTGTGGCTTAGTGTACATATGTAGAGAAATTTACTTTGGGAAAAGGTTAGCTAATCCATTTTCAACATCTTTTAATTTTAATATTATGGTAAGTTAGGGTTGGCTTATGTGCAAATATATATTCTCTTGTGCATGATTCATTTCATACAAAATTCTTGCATAAAATGTAGTTATATTTTCTTATGTCAGTATGAGAATATTGCTTAATGTTTTATTAGCTATTAGCATACATGCAAGAAATGCACTTAGCCCTCTAATTATTAGTTTCCTTGTACTTTCTCACTGCACTGCTCACAGCTCTGCCACAAAAATCACTCAGGCAATATAAAGTTTCTGACTTAATGTCTTACAAAGCAAGAAAATTCAAATAACCATTACATTACAACACATTTTAGTCCAGATGCTATATAAAAAATAAACCTCTGCAATGCTTAGATAATATTTTTATTTTATTCAAAGATACCTACTACACACTCAAAGGGTAAAGTTTTGATATCTTTCAAAGATAATTTTTAAGAATTATTTTTATAACCTTAGAATTTAGTGCAGGGTCAAAATGATTTTTAATTTATTATTTGGGTACTATTAAGATTTTAAAAATGGATATAGAATTTCTTTAGTTTTTTTATAATGTAGCTAAGTTTAATTTATATATTTGGACCTTATTATATATGCATTTAAGAAGTATAGAAAGTCATGTAATAGCATGCATCATGCCAAAATTATTTTGTTTCAGTAAAACAAATGATGACAAATTACTGATCTATTATTAGAGTGAATCCCAAATTTATTTGGGGGATGATCAGCTATATGAAAGATTAATTGGTGTTTTATATTATTACTTATTATTATCATAAGCCAAAAGTAGATTATATTAAAAGCCAACACACATATAATCATAATTTTTTTCAACTTGCAAATGCAATGGATGTATCTTTTATTAGCATCCTTAAAAAACACACAATGTTATTGGATTAACATTTTAACAGCCAAATAAGTAATAATACCCCCAGCCATTTGAATTGTTAGACTGACAGCGTTAGACCAATTCACCCCATGCTGAGAATGCCTTCCCAGAAAATGCATTTGCAGAAAGAAATGGGGCAAAGGAAAGTAATGAAGATAAAAGCTGAATAATTTTAATCACTGGGTACATTATTGATTTTGTGAGAATTTTGCAAAGTGTGAGTTATTGAAAATTTAATGGCAATCTTAGTTGCAGCTTTGCTATAACATAAAAAGGAAGCATATCCCAATTAATCAGCAGAACCATGAAGGGAAAGGGAAATAAAGGTTGGAAAGTGTTGAGTAGGAGCCTATTCTTGGATCTGCAAAACTAGCATCAGAAGAGAGTTCTGGTAATTAAGCATCCAAACTGTGGGCATGCATACTAAGAAATTCCTTCAATCAGGCTCACTGAGGAGAAAGGACAGAAGAATAGCTCAGTGTCCAAAGAACAAGATTCTCTCATGCAAAGAGTGTTGACCCAGAGTCTACCAACCTGTTCTTGTAAGGCTGGTTCCATCCAGCCTAAAGCCAGCTTTATCTGCTGCTGCCACCAGAGCTTGTGCAAAACTGCCGCTGGCAAAGATGGAGCCATCTGAGGAGCTACCTACACTAGATCTATGACTAGAAAAGTTACGATCCTCATCAGATGCAGAGCCCCATCCATTTACCATTGAACCTAAAAATAAATGTTGTCTAGTGAGTTGTAGATACTGGAGAGCTCATCTGCACACTCTATACGAATGAATAAGCTGGCTTCCTCAACTCCTCAGTCTTCCTTGACATAAATCTGGTATCATCTGACTTCTTTAGCCACATGCAAACATCACCCATGTTTTAAATATTCCAACTGCAAAAGAATGAGGCTCATTTGAAACCTGTATCTGTTTGCAACACATGAATAAAACATGTTCCACATGGTTCCATTCTTACCTTGTTAAAATTATTACACATGATCATTTTCCAGGAAAGAATTGCTAAGTATACTTTAAGTCTACAGTTCAGAGAAGAACACTTTTGATGAACTAAATTATTGTGTGTTTAAAGTAAACATATCATGAATTCAGTTGAAGAAATAGTGTGAGTATATTTTTAATTTAATGCAACCTCTAATAATAATTTGCCTGAAATCTAATCTTGTATACTGTAAAAGGGTTAGAATTATTTCAAGACTTTAAAGTAAAAACTTAATTATGCAGAAAAAATACTGAACATTCATAAACAAAAACATTTATAAATAATACCAGAGCAAATAGACTTAGAAAATAAGAAATATGTATCTTTGGAAAGTCCTATTAATTTCAAAACTCACTGTGCTTTTTTGCTTTTTAATTAAGAACTTTAGTTTTCTCTTCAGTTCTAATTTTTATTTTAGAAAGTTAACCATTATGAAGAATACCACTGGAATTCTGCAAAATGCAACATAGCAATAGAGGAAAAACTCATCTTTATGTGTAAAGAGAAGCAAGATATGAAGATACTGAGAAATAATTTTTATTCTTAGTTTTTATCAAGTTTTTTACAATTTTATATATTTTTAGACTAAACACATCAAAACTTGAATTTATTACATATTACAATTAATATTACAATATTTATTTCAGTTGGTATACCATTAATTTATAATACAATAAAGTACCAAATGTTGCTTATTCAAAATTTTTAAAAAAGGAAGAACTAAATATTTTGGAACACTAACTTAAGGGTTCTAAATAAACCAAACACATATTTATATACAAGACATTAAAGTTAAGCATCATAGATTTTTTTTCTGCTTTTATTCAATATTTAAGAGACAAAAGTATAGTTAGGAGTGTTGCTATGATGAAGCATTTGTACTTTTTTAGTAAAAGGGCCAGGATACAATCACACGGGTTCATGCACTTTTGAGACAGAGAAAACAGAAACCGAAGAGGTTAGAAAGATTTGAGAAGTTAAAAGGGTGTTAAGTGTAGCAGAAAAAAGATAGAGTTTTGATTCTATTTGCCAAAAGCACAGAGATACACTTTTTACTTTCAAAACAAATTCCCTTGACACAGGCCACTGAAAGGAAGATGAGATAACACCATCAACTGAGCCTCCTCCGAGAGAACCATTTCAAAGTTAATAATCGCAAGTCAAGGACCAGCAGTCCAAAATGAAAGGAGAAATGCTGCACTAGGCTTTGCAATATAATGTTACAGTAGATAAGAAACATATCAAAATGGTTCAGTCAGTAATCACCAAAGAATTCAAAACCTGGGAACCAAAAATAGTCTTGAAACACATGAAAGCTCAGGCCAGTCCCTCCTATGTTCTGTTTTCCATGTTTCTAAATGTCTACTCAACATCTGTGAACACATCTGTGTCAGTTATCTGAAACTCACTCTCCAAACAAGCATCTCCTTTTGTACAACCTCAATTTCATTACCAACTGATTTTCTCCTAGTCCCTCTCTGTTCCTCATTGTCACAGAATGAGTTTTCTGAAACACTTATCACATTCAAAGCCTTACCTAGTTTACCAATGCCACATCCAAACACCAAACTAGGTATTTTAGATTCTTCAATATTGAGCCCGGCCTACCATTCTAGCCCCATTTTCTGTTAAAGCCTGTGTAGTTCTGTTGCCTCACCCATATAACATTACTCACACATCTCTGAATTGTGACTGACTCTATTAACCACTGTGAAACTTTAAAGTCCCAATCAATATCATCTCTTTGATCACCCTGATTCTGCCTCACCTTCAACCCTGTCTAAAGGAGAATCAATCTTTCTGCCTCCTGTGTTTTTCAAACAGTATTCACACAGTAGCACATCAGATCTCTACAAACTACAGTTTGCTGCATATATGTTCATTCTTCTAGACAATGTCTCATTCACTTTTATATCTCTTATACAGGAACATTGCACAGTAGACATTTCAATAAACATCAAATATTAAATTAAATATCTTAAATATTTTCATTATCACTATAAATACTATTTGTGATTCTATTCCATGTGTAATTTCCTAGCAACTACCTTGTTAGTTATAAAATGTGCTTATAAGAACTCCTAGAAAACACTAAATAAGAAATACAATGTTAGGTTCGAGAAACCAAGATGGCAGCATAGGCAAACACCTGAACTGCTGCCTTACACAACAATTTCAAAACTTCAACTAAGAGACAAAACGGACATCATCCAGAACCATAGAAAGGCTGGCTGAGTGGAAATTCTACAACTAGAAAGAAAGAGAAAAGCACTATGAGATTCAGAGGAGTTGTGGACACTGAGACCAAGGGACCTCCCTTGCTCCTCCCTGAGGCTCTGCTCTAACCAAGCTGAGCACAGAGGCTTTTGCATATGAATGGCCTGGGCCTTTGAATTCTAAACTTACCTAACAAACTGCAGCTGAGTCAGTGAGACCCAGAACATCCAAAAGAAGTTCCAAGGCCCCACAGCAGCTTGAATTGCTTCACAGCTGAGCCTCATCTGGGCACCTCTAAAACCCAAGTAAGAAGAGGAATCTGCAGATTTCTCCATAGCTCCTGCTGGGTGGCCTCAGGCAGAATCTAAATTAGCACCTTCTTGGAGAACCAAGAGCCAGTGTACCCAGGGCTCAGAGTAGGACCACCCAGAGTACAACTCCTCAGACCCATAAGGGATACACTCAAGGGGCAGACTCAGTGAGCACCAAAGTCCCACTGAAACAAGTCTTGTCTCATAGTGTGTCTCCAGCACAGAAGTTTTCCCAATGTAAACACAACTGATCCTCACAGCCAGTTGGCCTGGAAGTCAATTCCTCCTAGTGATACTAATAACAATCAAGGCTTAACTACAAAAAATCTGTGCACACAGCCCACAAAGTGGTGAACCAAGAGTGTCCAACTCATGTAACTGGGGAGGCTGAGCCTCTGGGCCCTATAGGACACCTAGCACACAAAGCCACTCTGTCAACTCGGGGAAGCAGCCAAAATGTGGATACAAAGAAACAGGTCACAAATGAAAGAAATGGAGGAGAGCAAACAATTGGATATAGAGTTCAAAACCACGATTATAAGGTTTTTCAAGAATTTTCTAGAAAAGGCCTATAAATTTAGTGAGACCCTTGAGGATATGAAAAAGGACAACTAGAAATTAAGCATACACTGACTGAAATAAAAAAAAATAAAATAGATCCAACAGCAGACTAGAGGATCGCAAAAACCAAGTCAAATATTTGAAATATAAAAAAGCAAAAAATACCCAACAAAAAAAGCAAAAAGAATCCAAAAATATGAAGATGGTGTTTTCTATCTGGGACAACTTCAAGCATACCAACATCCAAATTATGGGGGTGCCAGAAGAAGAGAGAGAGCAAGATACTGTAAACCTATTTGAAGAAAAATGACAGAAAAATTCCTCTACCTGGTGAAAGAAAGAGACTTACAAGTCCAGGAAGCACACAGAATCCCAAACAAAAGGAATCCAAAGAGGACCACACCAAGACACATCATAATTAAAATGCAAAGAGCAAAAGACAAAGAGAGAATATTAAATGCAGCAAGAGAAAAACAGTTAGTTACCTACAAGGGAGCACCCATACAATTTTCAGCTGATTTCTCAACAGAAACTATGCAGGCCAGATGGGAGTGGCAAGAAATATTCAAAGTAATGAATAGCAAGAACCTATAACCAAGATTACTCTACCCAGCAAAGCTATCATTCAGAATTAAAGGTCAGATAAAGAGATTAACAAACAAGAAAAAAAGAGATTAACAAACAAGAAAAAGCTAAAGGAGTTCATCAACACCAAACCAGTATTATATGAAATGCTGATAGATTCTTTAAGAAGAGCAAGAAGAAAAAGGTAAAGATAAAAATTATGAAGAACAAATACATATCTATCAACAAGTGAATCTAAAAGTCAAGTGAATAAAAAATCTGATGAGCAGAATAAACTCATGAATATAATAGAATCAGGGGCAAAGAAAGAGAGTGGACTGACAATTCTCTGGGGGAAAGGGGTGGGGAGGTATGGAAAGAGACTAGACAAAAATCATACAACTATGGATGAGGACAGTGGCGGGGGGGGGTAAGGGCAGAGGATGGGGTGGGAACATGTGGAGGGGAAAGAAAAAGAGGAACAATTGAAATAATCTGAACAGTAAAGATTTATTAAAAATAAATAAATAAAGATAAATACTATGTTAGTCAACTCTTGTCAATTACTTGGACAATGGAAAGAAGCAGTAATGTAATTACCTAACATAAGAAAAAAATATCCTATATAATAAAATGCTAACATACAAATAGAATGAACCACAGAACAACCTGTTGTCATGATGTGCGCTGACGACCAGGGGGCGGGCACGGAACATAGCAGGTGTCAGCTGTAGCAGGATGCTGGAGCAGGTGAGTGGTGCACCAGTTGCTATCATCTGGGTGACCCCAATAACTTGATGCCGTCAGTGGGTGCGAGTGGTGGCTGCCATTCCCGATGGCCCCTCAGGGCTTCTCCACCTCCCCCTATCCTGAGGGTGATTGGGGCAGCAGCCAGTGCTCACACTTGCTGACAGTACCCATCCCGCTCGCACCTGCTGCTGGCGCTGGACCCAATCGCTCTGTGCCATCAGTAGATGTGAGCAGGGTGGACCCAGCAGCGTGTGGGAGCAGCAGCGGTGGGAGTGGGGCTGCAGGCAGACAGGGGACCAAGAGCTGTGGTAGGAGGGAC